CGCGGGCCCCCCGCGCCACGCCCCCCGCGCCCCCCTCCCTGGGCTGTCCCGCCCCGCGCCCGCCGGGTTCCCGCGCGCTGCAGCTGCCTAGCGCTTCGGAGGCCCCCGGGAGTGGGAACCCCGGCGGACACCGGTCGTGCGTGTTGGGTCACCGCAATGTCCCTTCTCCCTGGCGCTTAAGTAGCTCTTTTTGTTTATCCCTCGAGTGCACACATTGGCCCTTCATCAGAACGACCCCAGTTGCGTCGTGAAGCAGGTGACCACCGTGTCCGCGTGCTGTGGGTGGCGCCAGTTATCGCGCCTCGAGGCACGTGTGTGTAAAGCTACACGAGCGTGGTAGATGAATCTAGTGTCTTGTGTTACCCAGTGCTGACCCTATAACGTCTGCTCTGCCCCCTTAGACCCCGGTGCCGATCTTGGACGGGTTATCTAATCATCTAGCCTCTTTCTTTTTCTTCCTGTAAAATGAAACCCTGCCTCTCGGGGAGGTTGTGAATATTTAAACAAGACAACCTGGTAAAGGCACGGCAAAGGTGATCAGTTATTTTTGTATGATGTCAGATGCCATTTCACCTAAGACTCCTTTGTTTCCATTTTACTCATACCCACCTATATCTGAGCGTTCGATGGATGTCAAACGTTGCCTTTTGCCATCTGCCTGGGCGTTTTCTAGGGGAGACCCATAGGTCTCCATCTCTGTCAAAAGATAACCCTGTAGAGTTCTCACGGGTTGTTGTGCCTTCCTGCTGTGTCTGGCTCCTTCACTGTAGACTCCGCTGTTTTAGAAAGCACCTTCCTATGGGGGCTTCTGAGAAAGGCTTAGGGCTGTTTCTACTCTGACTGCTGCTTTCCTTTTCAAAGAATTAGTTATACTGTTAGAACCTTTGCATCTAATTTTTACTTACCCAGTATCTACTTTGCTGTTTTCTGAGGATTTTGTTCTTAGTATCATAACCAGCCTATTTTGCCATTATTTTTGGTGTATCACAGCTTATTAGTTTTATTATGTAAATGTATTTATGGACATAGGAATTTGTAGGTATATAATATTGTGTCTTTCCTTGGAAATCAATAATAGGATGATAATAACACTAGCTATGCTTTTGTTCTTTATTTATATGGCCATGGGATCGTATCTGAATAGAAAACTCACATTTAATCTCCAGTGGAACTACTGATGTGCAAATGAGAACTGATGCTTTGTACTGGATGCATTATCAAGATCTGTTCTCAGAGAACTTGGTATAAAATGAAGAAGATTGTAGAGGTAGTGTAAGAACATGAGAATGTGAAGACCAGAGATTTTTGTAACACAAAAATTGGAGGAGAGGATGTATGGTGTTTCACTGTATTTAAATCAATCCATGAAAACCAGTGTGAAGTTTTCAAAACTTTTGTTTTGTTTTTGAGTTAGGGTCTTATTCTGGCATCCAGGCTGGAGTGCAGTGGCAAGGTAACAGCTCACCACAGCCTCAAGCTCCTAGGCTCAAGCCATCCTCCCGCCTCAGTCTCCCGAGTCACTGGGACTACAGGTGTGTGCCACCACACCTGGCTACTTCTTAAATTTTTTGTACAGGTGTGGTATCACTATGTTGCCTAGGCTGGTCTCAAACTCTTGGGCTCAAGCAGTCCTCTTGCCTCGACCTCCCAGAGTGCTGTGATTGCAGGCATGAGCCTCTACTCCTGGCCTTCAGAACTTTTTGAGTCCCATTTCTCCCCTCAGTGGTAGTATTTGTGTACCTTCCTTTAAGATATATGCATATATACTCAGCTGCAAATATTTGCACTTTGATCATGAAATGAAAGGGTTTTATTAAAGACATGGGAGGAAGCAGGTGCATTCTGTAATTGAACTGCATAACTCGATCTGAAAAGAACCTTAGTATACGGTCTACTGCATCAAGTCCCTTGCTCACGTCCTTAGGTCCTCAACATTGTCTTCCTACATTCTCTCTTAAAATAGTCAAGCCTTTTCAACTACCACTTCTTTTCTCCATTGTGGTTGGTTGCCTCTTTTGCTTTTTACCTTTTTGAAATTTTAGAGATTCTCCATGGATGACTTCATACTTTTTTATTCTCAATTTTCCCTATGCCTCTCATTTTGATTTTGATCATTATTCCTTACCAGAGATTTCACAAGTACTCCTTTATATACCAGATAGTAAGCTTAAGAAACACGTTATAAAGAAAGGAGTTAAGAGAGTCCATCGTGTGTTGATTCCTTTTGACTGTCGCTGTAAAGCAGTGTCAGCAAAAGAGGTAGTCCGTGCTACCGTCATCTCGCCAGTTGCTCATTTGAGATCGAAATGTGGGAGTCAGTCCTGCTTTCTTGCACCTATTCTACATCCTACTTTCACTAAGCCCTTTCAATTCTTCACTCATTTTAGATTTGATTGCTTGTCCAAGTCTATCCTGTCCATGCCTCCCACCATCTTTTACCAAAATTGTAACAGTATAACTAGACTTCCTTGGCAATATGTGCTCTGCCTGTTTTCAAGACTCGTTCTATATTCATCCAGTCTTTACAAGACAAATCTGATCTTGTCACACACCTATTGTATATCAGACAGTAGCTTCCCACAGTTCTAAAATCTTGAATAGGCCTTAGTATATTTACATGTCTCCCTCGTATTTTATACCCATTTACCCCCTTAGTTACCTTGTTTTCACACTAGCTGTTCAGGTCTGTAAATTCAGGTTCTCTCCAGTTCTGGAACCATTATACAAGCTGTTTTCTTTGCTCTCACTCTTCACCCTTCCTCCTGCCTCTGTTTTAAACTGGTTGAGTTCTACCCACCTTTGAAGGCTAAATTTTTTTTTTTTTTTGAGTTGGAGTTTCACTATGTTGCCCAGGCTGGGGTGCAGTGGCATGCTCATGGTTACTGCAGCCTTGACCTGCAGGGCTCAGGTGATCCTCTCGCCTCCACCTTCCAAAGTGCTGGGATTACAGGTGTAAGCCACCATGCCCAGTCAAAAGCTAATCTTAACTGTCAATTCTTCGGGGAGGTCTTTGCTGAGCACTGTTTCTTTCCAAACTTGATAAGATGCCATTGTAACTTATTTCTGAAGTGTGCCATTCTTTTCCTTTATTTTATTTATCATAACTGGAACCCGTTATTATTTTAAGTAAAATAAAGGAAAAGAATGGCACACTTCTAAAACAATATCTCTCCTCCTAGACTGTAATGTTTGTGAGAAACGGGACCATATCTGCCTTATTCACAGCTATATTTCTAGCAATAGCATAATAGGCACAGAATACATATAGGTACAGGCTGATTGTCCCTTATCCGAAATGTTGGGGACCAGAGTTTTGTGTTTCAAATTTTTTCGGTGTGGAAAGTTTGCATATACATAATGAAATATCTTGGGGATAGGACTCAAGTCCAAACATGAAATTCATTTATTTTATGTTTACCTTATATACATAGTCTGAAGTTAATTTTATTTTTCCCTCAAGGATGTTGAGTATACGGTCTACTGCAGGTGTGCAAAACTACATGTTGCACACCTGCATTTTTGACTTACATCTGTCGTGTGAGGTCAGGTGTGGAATTCTCCACTTGTGTCATTATGCTGCTGCTCAGAAAGTTTCAGATTTTGGAGCATTTAAATTTCAGATTTGGGGATTAGGAATGTTCAACCTGTGCCAATCACTCAGTAGGCACTAAAGAAATAGTCATAGATCACACAGTTTGTGAAGATAGGAAGGAAAGATGAGTGCCAATTTCAAAAAAAGTCTTAAAGGAAGAAATACTTGAACTAAGATGTACCCCAAAAAACAGCATGGAGTTATTTGAAGGAAAGAGAAGAGGTAGGAGGAAAGCATGAAACAAAGGCATCAGATTCAGAAATAAGCATAGCATTTACAGGTGGGATCTACCATGAAGAGAACAAACTACAGAAGGAGGAGAGAATCAACTAGAAAACTGTTAGAACCTTCAGGAGGATTCATTAAGGTAGCTGGTGATTAAAAAAAGAATATGAAACTTTTCAGTATATCAACAGTAACCACTTAGAATAAACAAGGGTTAAGTAGAATCCATTAATGAAGACAGTTGAAAATAAAAGTTAAAGAAAACGAGGATTCAGTATGATAGATTGACCACTTGCTAAAACTCTGCGCCAAGCTTATAAAAATGGTAGGAAATAAGAAAATACAATTACCAGCATAGCCATATTCAAAAACAAGAAAGGGAAGTCTCCATTGATCAGGAAGAGAGAGGTTCCCCCAAAAAGAAAGGAGCAGATGGGACCCACAGCGAGAGACTGGTAACGGAACCCGACAAAGCATGTTGCCCTGCCTGAGTAAGACTGGGAGTCAGAAGTGTGCCATCTGTCACAGCCAGGGATTGAGAAGAACTATCCATGTGTTTTCCGAATCTGGAGCCAAGATGCTCCTGCAAGACCTGATCCAGAGAGCCGAGGCTTCCTATCCAAGAATGTGTCGCCAATCCAGGACACCCAAAAGAAATCTACTATAGAAGATGAGTTTTCAGCCAAGAATCACAAAGCACCTAAGGTAGATGAAAAACATAAAAAATTACCATGGCAACTGAAAAAAGAGGGAAAATGGTAGTAATAGCTGAACCTTTTATTGAGCACTCCCATGTGCCACGCACCGTTTTAAAGCACTGCAAAGCAGTGTCAGCAAAGCAAACAGATACCATTCTATGTCCTTCAGTCCTCACACTAATCCCATAAAGTGAGTACTGTTATTATCCTCATTTTATAGAATGGTTATATAAAGGCACAGAGAGATTCACTTGCCTAGTAAGTATTAAAACTAGAATCTGAATCTACATAGTCTGACTCTAGAAATCACATTCCTAACCATTGTCTTTTGCTGCTCGCTTATTATACTTCAAGAAATAGAGATAATAGAGCAATCTCCAAAGGAGTTTAAGAATACAGCCTTAAATAGATAAAGGCAGGAAGAATAGCCATGAAATAAGTGGTTATAAACAAGCATATAGTTCTAAAATAAGACCAAGTGATTATATGGAGAAATTAAAATTTTAAAACAGTTATTATGATAAATTGAGCAGATAACTTGAATAACAGGCTGGATACAACTGAAGAACACAGTATTAGTAAATTAGAATTTCAAAGCTGAAGAAATGAAAATGGAAAGGGCTATCAGCTTCTAGCCAAGATGGAGTAACAGGGACTGGGTTTGCCCTTCTACTTGAGACACAAGTAAAATATATAGAACAATGCTTTTTAAGAAGCTGGACGTTAGGCATCAAAGGACAGTGATCCCTGAGATTCAGAGATTGCTTCATTTGTTCAAGTGATCTCTCTGGTTGCCCCAGCCACTGCCTTTAGAGAAGCCTCAGTATAGCAAAGGGAACCCAGGCTGGACCCAGTCGATATCCTGAGGTGAGCAGAAAGAGTTTAAGAAGCCAGGAAGACCAAGGCAGGTAGAGTTTACATGACAGAGTACCTGAGCACGGGGGGAATTGTGAGTTTCCCAGAAGTGTCTCCTTGAGTATTCTGGCAGAGTATTGATCAGCATATGTGTGAGAAAAGTACCCAGGTGGGGGAAAGAGCCATGCAAAAGGATTTGAGAGAACCGTACTCTGTTCACACAGGGCTGAGGATAGTCCCCACAACTACCAGCCAAAATAGAAAACTTTGTCATTCCAAGATATTGGGTAGAGTACTCAGAAGTCTCGCCTCAATAGTGGGAGATAGTTAGCCCTACACTGAATAGGGCTCTGGTACTGCCTAACAAGTCTGAGAAGTAACACTCGAAAGGATCAAACTGTTTGCAGATAACCGTATCTCATTATATTAAAGCTCAGTAATATAGAAACACAAAAATAACCAGCTCCTAACAAAATAAGACTCCGAACACCTGGCATCCAGTCAAAGATCATCAGGTATGCAGAGTATGACCCATGATGAGAAAAGTTCGATTAAAACAAACTCCCAAATGACACAGATGTTAGCATTAGCAGACAAAGGCATTATAATTGTACTCCATATGTTTTAAAAGTTTGGACGTATTTTTCTTTTAAAACTCAAATTAGACTTCGAGTGACAGAAATGAATATCTGATATAAAAAAGTGATAAGGGTCTATCTCATGAACATTGTGAATACTGCAAGATTTTCAGGAAGACTTTAGATTTAAGTTAATGGGTGACTTAATGTTGTTAACTTGTCCATTCTTTCCAAAATAATATGTAGTTTTCATACAATTCAAATCAGAATCCAAATGGAATTTGTTTGGGGTATTGAGAATAAAAAGGGCTTAAATAACTGAAAGGTAGCAAGGGAATCTTTTACCTTACTACATGCATTTTAAAGTTAGTAATTAAAATTTCTAACTGGTTCTGACACAGGATAGATATGCAGTAAGTCTATAGGTATAGGAGTCTACTGTCTAATAAAGATGGCATCTCAGGTGAGGGAAAGGATAAATCATTCAATAAATTACTGACTTATTTCTGGGAGGGAAATTAGATCCTATTTTTATCCAAGCTCCAGGGAATTAAATATTTAAGTATTTATAGAGAGGGAGAAATACACTTACAAGTGTTGGAAGAAAATACTGGTGAATGTTATCTTTGCATGGGCAATAACTTTTTAAGCATAATGCTGAAGAAAAATGATATAGGAAACAATGGATAACATGGTGGCAGTTGACTTAAAATATAAGCACACTCTGGTAAACAACCACCATAAAACAAAGTTCAGTGGAACTGGTGTACTAACAACCTATAATGGTAAGGATTCCTGGAAAATCACTTTAGAAACCTACATTAGTGCTTCTCATGATAAAAACGGTCACTTCTACAAGCTACAGTAAAATGCAATACTATAAAAGTGAAATTTAAAAAATAAGCTTTCATTTTTGTTATTAGATTCAACAGACCTGATTATGCTGTCAAATTGTTATATAAGTTTCTAAACAGACTGGTGTGGTGGCTTACACCTACAGTTCTAGCACTTCGGGAGGCCATGGTGGGAGGATCACCTGAGCCTAGAAGTCTGAGACAAACCTGAGCAACATAGCAAGACCTTGTCTCTACAAAAAATACAAAAATTAGTCGGGCATGATGGCATGTGCCTGTAGTCCCAGCTACTTGGGAGGCTGATGTGGGAGGATCACTTGAGCCTAGGAATATGTATATTGCTGACTGAGCAGTTCTAGAAACTTATTCTAATGAAATAAATTTAAGTTAGTATGTACAGATTCTTACCACAATAATTTTTTAATGGGTAGAAGTATGAGGGCAACCTAAGTCTTAAAGTATAGCAGAATAGTTAAGGAAAACTGTGAAGTTTCTATAAAATTTTATGCAACTAATTACATGGCATTATAAAAGTACTAAAAAATAGGCACTTGTTCAGAATAGTCTCAATCATGTTGGATAAATGTAAAATAGCTATTAAATGAGTGCTAGAATATATACTAAGATGTAAAAGACAGTGACAGTTTTGTGAAGGGAGGTTGTAAGTTTAAGTTTCTAAAACCAAGTAAAAGCAAGACAGTATTATATGCTGATTTACAAAACCTGGGATGCTATGCTAATTTGGCATTGTGCAATAGTAAATAAATGAAAAACAAAAGTACTATATGAATATTTTTAAATACTATAAGCTTTTTTTTTTAAAGTTTTCTTTATATCTTTTTTCAGTTCTGCTTGAAATCTCAAGAATTTTGAATACTGGCTTAGATATGGAAACTCTGTCTATTTGCGTACGGCTTTGTGAACAAGGAATTAACCCAGAAGCTTTATCGTCGGTTATTAAGGAACTTCGCAAGGCTACTGAAGCACTAAAGGTTAGAGATTCCTATTAGTTCATTCTAAATAAAAATGCTTTTGTTTAGAAAATGATTAATGATGAAGTTATGGGAAGGATTCTAGTTTAACATGGTTAAACTAACTTCCAGCACCATCAGGAGAAATTCTAAAGATCAGGACTTTAGTAGCATGTTCAGATCATAAAAACTGCTGCTGACACAAACCATGATAACTTTTCCCAGAAATCTCTAATTATTTTTAGGGTTTTTCTATGTGGTAGGTAGAATTGTGCCCACCTCAAAAAAGAAAAAAATATGTGCAAGTCCTAACCCTTGGTGCTGATGAGTATGACCTTATTTGAAAATAATGTCTTCACAGACATACCAAATTAAGATGAAGTTATACTTGATTAGGGTAGATCCTAATCAAATGATTGGTATTCTCATAAGACAAAAGAAATTTGGACATAGATACATGGAGACAGTGTCACGTGAAGACAAAGACACAAAAGGGAGGACACCATGTAATGAAGAGGGCAGAAACTGGAGTGCTGTCTCAAAGCCAGAGAAAGTCAAGAGTTGTTAGCAGTCACCAGGAGCTAGGAAGAGGCAAGGAAGGACTCTCCCAAGAGTCTTCAGAGAGCATGGCCCAGCCAACACCTTGATTTTGAACTTCTGCCCTCCGGATCTGACAGGATAGATTTGTGTTTTTTTAAGCCATTTAGTGTGTGGTTCTTTGTTATGGCAGCCCTGGGAATCTGATACACAGTTTGGTACTGGGAAATGGGGAGCTACAGTAACAAATTCTTAGACGTGTGAGAGAGGCTTTGGAATTACGTGATGGATGGAGACTGGAGAGTTTTATGGAACTTGATAGCAAAAGACTAGAGATTACCTTGAGGAGCCTGTTGGTAGAAATGTTATGTTAAAGACAATTCTGGTGAGGGCTCAGAAAGAAGAAAGACAAGCTGTAGAGAAAGCTTCAGTTGTTTCTAAGAATATATACATTAGGAACAAAATATGGCTAGAAATAGGAACATTAAAAGCACTTCTGGTGAAGTCTCAAATGGAAATGAGGAACATTTATTGGACATGAGAGTAAAGATGGTCCCTGTTATAAAGTGATAGAACTTGACTGAATTATGTTCTACTGTTGTAAGGAAAATAGAACATATAAGTGGTAAACTTGGATATTTAGCTGAGGAGATTTTCCAGCAAGGTGTGGAATGTGCAACCTGATTCGTTCATGTGAGAGGAATGAGCAATTGGGGAAGGAATTGCAACAAGAAAAGGAACCAGCACTTGATTATTTGGAAGATTTTTGGCCTATCTGGATCGCATGTTCTGGAGACACGGCCAAAAATGTAACTGGACAACCTTCTTGAGAAGAGATTAGGTATATGATAGACCCAGTCAACTATCTCAGCACAAATGCCAGCCTGGACTGAAAGGAACAGGATGAAATGAAGGAAGGCTCTCATATTACTAGGATTCTGTAGACAGGAAACTGGCTGACAGGGCTGCTCAGCTGTGAATATATAACTTTTCAAGAAAAGGGATAAGTGACTCCTAAAGTAGCTCAAGGAGCTGCTGCTGCTACCACCATGGTCCCAGAGGGCCATCTTTTTCAAAGTCTAATTAACTACCTTTTAATTGCTAAAATTGGAAACAGGAAAAGTATCCCCTGGTTTGCATATTCTCTGATTTAAAATCTTGTGCTTTTGTTTTCATGCTTATTTCCAGCACTAAACACCCTGAATACTGACACTTTATAAGTTAGTCCATCTTAAAACTTGTCCAACAACAAAATAACTTCTCTTTTTTCTTTTCCGTAAGAAAACAGAGCTATAGAAATATGAAATTTACCCATCTTTTGGATTAAGTTATTTTCTGATAAGTTCCATTGATTTAGGTTGTTTTTGTTCTTTTAAAAATTTTTTGTTTATTAAGTCTAACACAAAAAGGTAAACAAAACACATTTGCAGAGCTAAAATGTATCATAGGAGAATATGTTTGCAGCCTTCACTGGCAACTCCTGAAAAACCCTCTTGTGGCCCTGCCCAGTCACTGGCCTCTCCATTCTAGTGCTGCTGTCCTCACTTTTATAGTAGACTCTTTCTTTTAGTGGTTTTACTAACTATATGGATCTCCTAACACTGAAGCTTAATTGTGTAAAACTTTTAACTCGATATAAATGGAATCTTATAACACAATCTTTTTACTAGGTTATTTCATTTAACATTATGTCTGTGAGATGTATTTATATTGTGTGTAGCTGTGATGCATTCCTTTCCACTGTAACATGTTTCATTGTACAAATATACTATAATTTACTTATTTTTTCTATGTGAATGGATATTAGATTATTTCCAGTGTGGGCCTATTACAGATAATGCTGCTTTGTGTGTTGTGGTCCACGTCTCTTGATTCATTTATACATGCACTTCTGTTAGGTTTGTATCTAGAAATAAAACTGCTGGGTCTGAGGTTCCTGTATCTTCAACTTGAACAGATAATTGTAATGTCAGACTTTTCAGAAAAATAATTGCATCATTTATATTTCCACCAAATCATGTGAGTTCCCTTACTCCACATTTTTGCCAATGCTTATTGTTGTGAATTGTGTTAATTTTAGTTATTCTGGAGTGTACATGGGTTTCTCACTTGGTTTTATTTACATTTTTCTGAGTACCAGTGAGATGGAAGGCATTTTTACATGCTTTTTGGTTATCCCCTTTTGTGAGTCACTTGCCCATTTTTCTTGGTTCTCTGTTCTGTTCTTTTTGATTGGCAGCTCTTCTTTAAATACCCTGGATATAAACCCTTTGTCAGGTATGCATGTAAGGTTTCAGATTTTTAAAATAATACATTTTTTCAAGATTTATAAAAACTATTGAAATTTTTAATTTCTAACTCACACCTATGACTTTCATATAGCAGAAAGAAGAAATCACTGAATAATAAGAATAGTAATATTTATACGAGAACTTTTCTTGTGCTAGATCCTGTGCTCCAAAGGCTTTACCGGCATTATTTCCTTCTTAGTCACAACAGTGATACGTATTATACAGATTGAGCGTCCTAATCTGAAAATCTGAAATGCTCCAACATTTTTGAGTACTGGCATAAATACTCAAAGGAAGTCCCCATTGGAGCATGTCAAATTTTTGGATTTTCTGACTGGGGAGGCTAAACCAGTATGTTTGGTCAGTCCTCTGTATTTGTGGGTTCACATTCATGGATTCAACCAACTGTAGATCAGAAATATTTGGGGAGGGTGGAGGGAGAAAGGATAGTTGCATCTGTAGTAAACATGTACAGACTTTTCTTGTCATGTTCCATAAACAATATGGTGTGACAACTATTTACATAGCATTTACATCGTGTTAAGTATTGTAAGTAATCTGGAGAGGATGCAAAGTATATGGGAGGATGTGTGCAGGCTACATACAAATATTGTACCATTTGATATAAGGAGCTTGAGCATCCATGAACATTGGTATCTGCAAAGAGGGGGTGCTGGAACTAATTAATTCCCTATGGAAGAAATGTGAAACACTTCTGGTCCCAAGCATTTAGGATTAGAGATACTCAACCTATACTGTCAATAGTTTACTATTAAGAAACTTGGTTGCTGCTTATGGTGACTAATTTATCCCAAGAACGTAGATTTCCTGGTTGAACTGGGATTTGAGCTTGGGCTGTTTGATTCAGAATTGTTTTCTTAACTACCAAGTTTTCTCTGATGAAATCTAAAGACTACCTGAGTCTGCTATTTGGGAAAGGATGAATGGTTTTTAGAAGCAAAATAGTCATTGGCATGGGCACTTTCCCTGGCTTAGTATTTTTTCATAACTGTTAATAAAAATAAAAGAAGTATTATAGTCTTTCATCAGTATTTTTCTGAAATTTGGAAGATGATTTATTTAGTACACATCTTTCACAACTATAAGAATTTTTGTTTTATTATGCATGAGTTTGAAAAGGGAATAAGCATAACAGGAAGAGATTTTTGTATTGTACTACAGTTTGAGTGGTATAAGGGAACCAGGATCAAATAAGCCTAACCAAAGCATAGCTAATTTTACTGAATTAGAAAATAATAACATCAGTTTGCTTCTATCTGTATTAGCATCTGTTCTTGCTTAGCTGCCGTCTGGGGTGGGATGAGGAGCGGCTGGGTCAGGCTGCCTTTCTTTGACCGCCCCTCCACTGACTTCACAAGCATAAGCTTTTTTCTTTACTTGGTTGCTGCTAATAAATTTTTTCTTATATTTTTTGTTTATTTATTTTGATAGTAAAATTAGGATAAAGGGAATTGTTTCTGCTGTATTCTGTCTTTATCTAGAATTCCTAGTATTTAGAATTAATTATATAATACTTATCATTTATATTTTAGAATATATAAAATATAAATCAGGGACATCTTGAAATTCAAGGACTGTTGACCTGAGAAGATATTCTTTTTCCCCTACGTAGTCATGACAAATAAGTTTTGCTCTTTAACTGTGTAGAAAATAGTAACCATTTTTTTGTTAATTGTTTTTGCCTTTTACTTTTACAGATTTGTATATTGATATTGTCTAAATCATGTATAGTAAAAGGGCTAACTGTGTGTCCCCCTAACTAGAAAGTTTCTTTTTTTTTTTTGAGTTGGAGTCTCACTCTGTCGCCCAGACTGGAATGCAGTGACCACTCCCGGCCACTGCAGCCTCGACCTGCTGGGCTCCGGCGATCCTTCCGTCTCAGCCTTCCAAGTAGCTGGAATTACAGGCGCGTGCTACTACGCCCAGCTGATTTTTCATTTATTGTAGAGATGAAGTCTCACCAAGTTGCCCAGGCAGGTCTCAAACCCGCGGGCTCAGGCAATCTACTCACCTCAGCCTCCCAAGGCGTGGGATTACAGGCTGAGTCACCGAGCCCAGCTAGAAAGTTTCTTTTTTAAAAAAATTATTTAATTTTCGATTCAGGGGGTACACATGCATGTTCATTACATGGACACACAGTGTAGTGGTGAGAGTTGGGTCTTAACAGTGATAGGTAGGCCACCTTATATGTATCTCCTACAGCATTAGGACTGTTAATTGGGTGCATTTTATTAGTGATTCTGTATTGATACTCAATGCTTATATTATCTCCTTAGTGCTAGTGTTTATGTGTAAGTAGTCATCTACATACTGTAATTTGAGACTTGCGGAGCAAAGCTTTCTCTTGCATCTTCTATTTGGGTGTCATAGTGACTTAAATTGTACCCTGATGATGGATTTCTGTGGACTAAACCCTGGCCTTTCTCTTGCAGATGTCCTGTACTGCTACTAATACTGAAGGGAAAAATCCCTTAGGTGTATCCCTGTCTGGGATGGTCCTCAGCGTGAGGATAGTGAGCTGCAGAATTTGGAGTTGGGAGAGGAAGGAAGGGTTAAATAATTCCCACCCCTCTATCCCTAGGGGGTAGTAAATTCTTGCACAGAAAAGGAAAGGTTGAAAGAGAAAAGGTCTACTAAAATGGATTGTACCCAGGTCTGATCCTTGCATATTTTTGACGTTCTTAGTGACAGTCGTGGCTGTGGCATCTCTAGGATGCTGTTGCTGTCTTTTCAAATAGAAAGTTCTGCATTTGTAGAAATTGAATGTATAACATTGCTTACTTCAAGTGAAAGTGCTGGTTTTGTTGTCTCTGTATTGGAAGAGAACTTCCAAAATTAATATGAAAATAGAATGGGGCAAAACAGACTGCATTTGAATTAAGGTATTTTAATTTTGAAAATTGGGTATATGATTTCAAGTCTTCTTTGATGTAGGTAATTCTGAGAATGGCACTAGGCAGATAGAATGCCTACGGGTATGTGGCTGAAGCTAATACAGGGACCTCTAAGGGTAAAAAGAGGTAAGAAATGTGAAGAATGGTAAATTTTTCAAACCAGGTTCTAATTCTCTGGAAAAGTAAATCCAGGTTTAGGTCTGTGAGTCAACTATGTTGAAAAACAGGTTGATTCTATTAGCTGCATAGAGATAGTTTCAGCCTTATTTCATGTTGCTTTACCCACAGTTTTCCTAGCATTTTAAAGTATTTTTATGAAAGCTCTGAACTTAGACTAATCTAAAAGCAAGTTTTAACTAGGAAGTAGAAGCATAAATGAATCAACAAATCTAATGTGTATTTCTAAAACAAAACTTTTAAAATTATATCATTTTTATGTTGACATTAATAAATTACTTTTTAAGGAATGATACTAGTATGGTGGTTTTTTAAAGTCTTTCTAGAAATAATATGTCTCAAATCATTTATTGATGAATGATATGATATCTTGGAATTTCTCTGGATTCATCGGAGAAAGAATGGCATTGGGGGTGTAGGTGAAACAGGATTAGTCAGATGTTCATTATTCATCTTTTGCTCTTCTTCTCTCCACCTGGTAGCATAAAAGGTCTTTTTCATTCTTAACCCCCTTTTCACACTATGATAAAACTTGCAGAAACAAACTAATAAAGTCTGTGGACCCAAGGTCTACTATTGGTGAATATTTAAAATATCAGTATGTTTTTACATGTACACTTAACTATTGTTTAAGATGATATAACTTTTCTGTTAGCCTAGCAATATGTTCAAAAGGCAGTCCTGATGTTTAGCAAAAAAATGGAAACCACGGCATTATCCTGATAAAGTGGTTCTGTTATATGTGGGAATCATTGTTAATGACAATACAGTATTGACAAATTTATCTCATGGTGTCTCTTTTTCCATGGCTTTATTATAATGAATCTTACTTTCTTGTTCTAGGCTGCTGAAAATATGACAAGTTGACTTTCTGGAGAAACTCTGATGAGATATGTCAAGCTCTGCAAGAGAATGTGAAGATAGCATTGTAGTCAAGAATGTAAAATGAAATTACTGCATGCAGCAGTGTAAAAAAATTTTCCTTTTTAAAAGAATTATAAAAACATAGCTTTATAAATCAATGGAAAGTGGCTTACCGAGAGAACTATCGAGTGTGTTTACATCACGTCTCATTCACTTTTTTAAACAGCTCTTATGCTTTGGCATTTCTCTGTTCATATTTACGTATTCCTTGTTTATATCCCTGATAGCTTTAATTTTGTAAGCAGTCTGTCAGATGTGCACATCTGCTGTGCCTGGTTGAAGTATAGTGGAATCCGTCAGTAGTGATGTGTGGTAGTTATGACTTGTTGACATTTCCATTATAAACTCTGATTTTGAATTGTTTATGCATAATAACTGTGGATTTATGTTGTATTGGACTGAAAGTTGACAGGGTTTCAGCTACCATTTGTGAATTTTGATTTAGATTCATTATAATAGAATCTTGTTTTTTAAAATAAGAGCATGGAAAACATTCCTTGCAATCTGCTCTTTAACAAAGAATATTTAGTTTTTTAAACAGTTTGTTGGGCAGCTAATAGTGTGAACCAGGTCATTTTTGTATTGATTGAAAAACTTTTAGAAACTTGGATTTTAAAAGTAATAACATTGCTTAAGCTTAGTGCTACTTGTAGTTTGAATCATTTAAATCTATTAAGACTGTTAGTTGAGAATTATTTTTAGAGTTTTATACCCTATTAATGAAAGCCTAAACAGAAATGTATAAAATGAAACATAACCAACATGCAAAATTCCTGCTTAATTTTATCACATAAAAGTACTTTGAGTGCTTACCTAATAAAATCTTGAGTGGTTATTTAATAAAGTAGATAGGTGGTGTGTGTCAAGAGAAATTTAGTATTTTCCAAAGAAATAAGGATGTCCATTCATTAAACAAAACTAAATAATCAAATGTTCTGTGTTAAGAATTATAAATATGGCTTTTCAAAATCATTTCGTGTGTTATTGTTTTTACCCTTAGAGCTTTCCTCATCAAAGTATTGATTCAAAAATTTTTAAAAATTTAGGATAGTATTGATTCTATCAATATTATTATAATATATAATATTGTTCCTGTAATAGAATCTCAGTAGAGGTTTTTTTTTTTTTTTGCAAGACTGACATGGATTTAATCTGATTTTATTACAACAGTGGCACCTACTACTGTTTTTCAGACAAGCTGAAGTGGTTTTATTAAAACTTAGTAATTTAAATAGTATCCTTCTTTCCTTTTTTTTTTTAACCAAGGCTTTTGACCGTTTTGACTTTTTAAACATTCAGCATCTTTACGAAGTGAGCTGGAAGATCTGTTAGTGGCAGAACAGGTTGGGGGAGAGTGAGAACTGTGACAAGTCATTTGATTGATAATAAACATTGCAAAAACTGCATATTATTTATAAAATCATAAAGAAAACACTTTTGTCAAACTCCAAAATTTGTGTATACTTCCAGGCCATAAGAGTTGACAGTATTATTTATGACTTTGCAGATTAAGTTATTTATGTATGAAACAAAGCAGGAAAATATATTGAGAAGGGATTGTGTTTACAGAGAACTTCTTTAATGTGTCACATTTTAAAAATGTAAACATATATTTTTAATGCATACTTAAGTAATATTTAAGGAACCAAACAAAATAATGATACAATTGAGGTATTGTGCTTGTTGTAAATGACAAAAATAAAACCATTTTGGTGGAATTGGTGTGTACTTTTGTTTTAAAATATGCTTTTGTTGATTCAACTTGAGTTTCTGCAAGTAGTATATGAATATTTAGATGCTTATTATGTGTGACTGAAGACTATTTAAAGGAGGTTGTGTAATTTACCACTTAAATTAGACTTGAGGTGTAAAATGGAATACTTTCCCCTAGCGGTGAAAGAAGATAGCTATATTAACATTGCCCCAGGCTCTAAGACAAAGTTGGCAATTCAAATAAGTGTGAGATTGTATTTTTCTCTACTTGAAATCAGAGTTTTACATAGTGGGGCATTATGAAATTTAGATGCTTGTTGTTTCAAACATACTTAAAAGTTTTCCAATAACAATCAAATACCAGTTTTTAAACATTTATTTAAAATAAAAAATTCAGTCTCACTACTTTTTATTGTAGTAAAAGATATGTAACAAAATTTACTATTTTAACAGTTTTTAAGATGTACAGTTCAGTGACATTAAGAATATTCACACTGTTTTGCTACCATGACTGCTATCTCTAGAACTTTCTTGTCCCATGCTGAAACTCTGTGCCTATTAAGCAATAACACCCCATTCCTTCCTCCTCCCAGCCCCTGGTAAACATTTTTCTACTTTTGTCAATGAATTTGACTAGTGATATGTGTAGTTATGACTTGTTATGAACACTTAGACCAGGGTTACTGTCATACATAGCATTCTAACTAGTGTCTGCTTCTAGTCTTTCCCTACTCAAATCCATCCTGCACTTGACTAGCAAGGCAATTCCCCTAACAAACTGATAAATGCAGTTACACAATATTTGTCCTTTTGTGTCTGTCCTGTCTCACACAGCATAGTGTTTTGAAGATTCATTCATGTTGTAGCGTGTATCAGAATTTTTTTCACTTTTTAGACTAAGGGATAGCCATCATATGTGTATACCACATTTTGTTTATCTACTTGTGTCAGTGGATATTTGAGTTGTTTCCACCTTTTGGCTAGTGAAAATAATGTTTTGAACATTGGTATACAGATGTCTGTTCAAGTCCCTGCTTTCAGTTCTTTTGGGTGTATACCCAGAAGTAGAATTGTCAGATTATGAACATTGCTTAAAAGTTTAACCCTAAGTCTGTAGGCATTAGAGAAAGGAGGAGGAGACATGGTCAATCTGTTAGGGGAATTGCTTTGCTAGTGAAGTGTAGGCTGGATTTGAGCAGGGAGAGACTAGAAGCAGACACTGGTTAGAATGCTATAACAGTAACACTCGTCTAAATGCTCAAATCAGGATAGATTCAAGAGATGTTACAAATGAAAAACATGGGATTTAATAGTAGGTTATGGGGAAAATATAGAAGAAACTCAGGTGACCTAGTTTCTAAACCTGGGTAACAGAGAATGATTATCAGCAAATGGATGTTAAGGAGGGAATCTAATTTTTCTGGAAAAATAAATTTTATTTTAGGAATACTTAGTTTGACATATTAAATCTTACCTTGGCTAACCCTCAAAGACCCTTACCCGCCTCAAATTTTTTGTCCTATGGCATTCACCACTCTAACATGGTATACAATTTACTCAATTATATCTATTGATTATAAATAAATAAACTTTACTTGAAAAATCCCCAGAAGGGCAGAGATTTTTCCTGGTTTTGTTCATTGATGTATCTCAAGTGTCTTGAACAGTGCCTGGCACATAGTAAACGTTCAATAAGTAGATGTTGGCTGAATGAATGGATAGACTGGGAATCCAAGAGACATGGTTGAAAAAACTACCATTGAGAACTTGCTACATACAAAGCACTGGTTTTGGTGCTTTAAGTATGCCAAATTATTTCATCTTTAGGCTTACGGCAACCACAGGAGAGAGAACCTGCATCATCCCAATTGATAATGAAGCCGAGGCACAGGGTGGTAATCAGTAGCTGAATTTTGGAAGTGGTAGGGGTAGACCTTGTAGCCAGATGAGCTGACTCTAGGACCCACATAGCTCAGTACATTTTGTTGCACATCACTGCTTCATGGGATGAAGAGGCAAGATGGAGCTGAGGGAATCGGGAATCCAGTGGCCAAAGTGGCACCTGAAGTTCTGAAAGTAGATGCGGAGGCTAATAGAAGAACCACGACAGATGTTTATCATCCCCAGAATTGTCCCCATTTTCCTAATGAATTTGCTGTTGCTGCTGAGGGTGGGCTGGTGGATTTTTGTAGCATCTCAACAGATCTCTATTATTGCCTTTTAATTAGGACAATCCAAAGAAACAATCCGTGAAATTAGTTCACCGTTCGGATGTGCTGTACTTGGGGAACGAAGTTCTAACGAAAAAGAAGGTTTTAATGAAATTCAGCATTGGAACTGGGCTCGGTGGCTCAGCCTGTAATCCCGCGCCTTTGGGAGGCTGAGGTGAGTGGATTGCCTGAGTCCGTGGGTTCGAGACCCGCCTGGGCAGCAAGACCTCATCTCCACAATAAATCAAAAAATCAGCCGGGCGTGGTAGCACATGCCTGTAATTCCAGCTACTCGAAAGGCTGAGGTGGAAGGATTGCCGGAGCCCAGCAGGTTGAGGCTGCGGTGGCCAGGAGCGGCTACTGCACTCCAGTCTGGGTGAGAGTGAGACTCCAACTCAAAAAAAAAAAAAGAAAGAAATTCAGCATTTTAAATGTAAAAAAGATGGTACATCTGACATCTCTAAATAGCAGACACAGGAAGTCTATCAGTTAACAGACAACATTGTCCTTTCTAATAGAGAATATTGAGATGTCTTGTGGGTCCCAAGTAGCTGAGTAGAAGCACAGACATGTTATATTGGAAGTGGCTCCCATGATCACTTTTCACTACAGAAAGTAACTACTAAATCACTAGATGTACATTTGCAGAGTACATCAAAGGCCTTTAAAGAGGCTGCTCTGATCATTACACTTTCACACATGTTAGAAAACTTTCACCTGTTAGATTTCTAGAGGTGGGTCTACCTGCCAGCAAAAGACCTTTTTTACTGTAAAAGCTATGGGCTTATGCTTGAGTTTGCTGACAACTATACATTGAAATTTTGAATTAAACTACAGTAAGTTTTATAAAAATAAATAACATCTAGTTTAATCTGAATGGCCAGTTATCAAACCAATTTAAAATACCACCCACTTTAATATCACTCCATTCAACAAGAAGAAAAGTGGAGAACCGTGTGACTGTTCTGAAATGAAATAATTTCTCATGTCCTTAATTCGAATCTGTTTATTAGTCAAAAGATGTCTGACTAACCTCCCAGAAAAACAGGTCAGGGGAAATTGACTTGCTTGTGAGGAGATCCTTGTATGTTTTGACAGATAAAAGGCCTCATTTCAGCAATTCGGGAAATTTGGACTCTTAACTTCAACGTCTCAAGACCTCAGTTTCTTCAGTTGCATCCTGGGCGTTCTCACCTGGAATCTCCAGATCTGTGCCTCCACAGCCCAAGTTGCCCGTGGCATCTTCAATCTCTTAAACACCTGAACTATTATTTATGCAAATCTTTCTTTAAATAGGTTCCCTTTTTTAAAAAATCTAAATACTTTATTTGGAAAATTAAAATGTACCTGACAACTTAAGTGGAAAACCAACGTGTCATAGCTATAAAAATAGTGACAGTAAAAATTAAATATGAAATTATAACTTTGCAATTGTTGTCTTCAAAAATTTCCTCTGGGACCTGCTATTCCTTTGATAGAAAAGCAGATGCACATACTAGAGACATACAACACAGAACTACCTTTCCTCTAGATGTTACCAGAAGGACTAGAAGAGTTATTGACATGTCAGTAAACGCAATGTCCTGTGTACCATCTCCTTTAGCACCCATTCTACACTGTGGAAAACCACGCTCTTAGATAATCCCCTAGATCACTTTTGGCTCTAATATTCACATTATTTAGTAGACAGCTCAGGTGTGGGTGTCAGACAGGCTTGGATTCCATGTGCCCTCTCCAAATCTGTTTCCTAAAGTGTAGGATGAGGAAAATGACATACAGCTCACAGTGTTGTGAAGATTAAATGGAGATGAGGGACATAAAATCCATAGCTGACCACCTGGCACATAGTAGGAGCTTCATAAATGTTACACTCTATTTTATGCTTGGTATGAATTAGACTTATCTAGAAAAGAAACAAGCAGGTTCTGGAATTAGTTTTTAAAGACAATACCTAGCAAAGATATAATTCAGTAGTCAATTTTCACTGTCATTATTTTTATAGCTATGGCAAATGATACTGGTTTTCCATTTAATCAGTTACATAAATTTTAATTTTCCAAATAAGTGTATTTAGATCTTTTAAAGGGAGTTTATTTTTATAACTAATATTTCAGGTGTGGTTTAAGAGAATGAAAATACCTGGGCTGTGGAAGCACAGTTCTGGAGATTCTAGGTGAAAACTCTCAGGATCCAGTGGAACTATCTAGCAACTTAATTTTAGGAGTGGCCCAAAGCTTATGAAGCGACATACTCACAATGCACTTTTTCCCCCATCAATAGAATCAGACGTAATGTTTTCCCAAACTCTTCTTTTTATATATTCTTTTTTGGAAGCAGGCAAAGCGTATTTAAGTATAAGCACACATTGTGCTTATACAGGGAGGAAGATAAAAGCCCCACACTAACAAAAATGGAAGATGAATATGCAGCTAAATTTCAGTGTCAAGATGTGCATAGCTAATTCGAGAAGGGAGACCATGGGGATGAGAATGTGTTGGGAGAAGGAAAGATGATGAATAAATTTTAAATCTATTTCCAACGTAAAAAGAGCTCGTTGTTCTCAGTTGCTTCTGATAAACCCAATGGGAATAGCAGTGATGTTTGCTCCTACAGAACACTTGAGAACCACCATGTAAAACAGGGGCCAGCAGCTGACTAAGAGAAAGCTTCTCTGGAAGTCTACTGGCAGAAACCTGTGGGGATGTGGGGATAGGGGCAACCGGGAGAGAGGACCCTGTTGAGTTTAATTTAAGCCCTGGATAAACATCATTCCTGCTTTTCACGGGCTCTGCCTA